CACACACACACACACACACACACACACACACACACACACACACACACACTGATAGCAGATACATTTTATCAAGTGAAGTTTGTAAAATTATCAACCAGATGATCTAAGTCGATGTTCTCTAACATTACTCTGCAAGACGGAGGAAAACAATGATGGAAGAGATTGTTTAAATTTGTTTACATCATTCTCTGATAAACACCTACTATAATGAAATTTACACTCAGTAATTGTTTAGTCATTTAATGTAAACTCAAAGTTTATTAAAAATGGTCAGACACAACAGGACTTTGAGGAGATATTACTAAGTTATTAATCTTGATGCCATAGGTCAGAACCAGGTCAAGAGTGTGATGATGAGAGTGAGCAGGTGTTTGGATGTTTTGGGTAAAACCAATTCACTCTATTAAGTTTTTAAAGGCTTTACTTGAGCTATCACTTCCAACATCTACATGAATATTGAAATCACCCATTATTATGACTTTATCAATATTTAGTAGTAAGTTAGTTAAGAATTCTGAGAATTCAAACAAGAACTGAGCATAGGAACCTGGTGGACGATGTATAATAACTAGTGAGCGTGGCCGTTCCATTTTCCATTTAGGATGGGACAAACCTAGAGACAGCTACTCAAAAGTATCATAACTAATAACTGGTTTAGCATTAATCAATAATCCTGACTGAAAAATAGAAGCTACTCCTCCACCTCGGCCAGTTGTTCTAGGAACATGAAAATTTAAATAATTAACAGGAGTGGATTCATTTATACTAACAAAATCCTCCTGTTGTAGCCAAGTTTCTGTCAGACAGAATAAATCAATATGATGATCAGTTCAGTAACTAACATGGATTTAGAGAAAAGAGATCTGATGTTCAATAATCCACATTTAATGATTTTATGATTTTGTTCTGGTAGAGTAATTGTTTTTTTGTTTTTTTTTTAATAAGATTTTTATGGTTTATATTTTTAGAGTTGATTTTTGGTTTATTTAATTTGAGCCGTGGGCAAGTTGACACTGTTTCAATGGGGGTGTGGGTGGGTAACAGGAGAAGCAGCAGAGAGGTGGAGGACTACAGCTCTGCTTCCTGGACTGGACCCTGGGTTGTCAATCATTTGGATGACTAGCAAAATCGGCTATATCTGTGTAAAACATATAAAGCCGGAGAATTTAATCTCACTACAAATAGTAGATGAGTTTACTCAACATTCCTTATGTTCTACGTTAGCTTGGACACATTTGCTCTTGTTATCATGTGCAGGTCTGTAAATTATTTATTTCAGGATCTTTTGACTTGTATCGTTCTAAGATTTGTTCTCTTCTGAAGCTAGAACTGATGCCAGACAGTGACTCTCATGGCGTTTTCACTGCTGTTGGCCTAATCGTCTGTTTCACAACTTCCTGCTGTTTGCAGGATGTTATCGGTTGAGTTGGTTCAGTCCTGACTACAGAGTCTGCTTACAGGGACAGTGCAGATGTTTTAATGGGAGGTTCTAGTTAGTACCTCCAGTTAATACAGTTAGCATCTTATCTGTTGCAGATGTCTCTTTAAAGGACCTCAGTTTGGAGAAATAAAGTTTAATTATGTCTGAATTGATGAGCCAACAGTCAGAATCTGGCCAGGAAGATCACACAGATATTTACATACAATCCTGCAAATTCCAGTGGCAGCAGTTAGCTGTAGCACTTCCAGTGGGGATTTCAGCAATATTTCTGCTGGAATATTAATACAATGCAAATCTGACAGCAGTGCAAAGATTTATAAAATAGTGTTTGCATGAATTATTTAAAATTTATTTATTTATTTTTACTTTGGCCAGAGTTATTATAAACTCAGACTGTTCAATAAGCTATGTACAAAAAGTACAATATTAGTTGTTCATAACCTTTCCACAGAACTCTACTTGAAAATATCTTAACTATCCCTTTTAACCACATTAGTCTATTTTTGACCATGATTATTGACATAATCAGCCAAATCAATTATATGTAAACAAATAGTTTTCAGCATCAGCAACTGCTCAGTCAATGTTGGCGTGAATGATTAATGTAAATCATTAATCTTTATTTAAAATGAGACCCAGAAACACTGAAGACACTTTAAAACTCAGAATATGTTTCTGCTCCATCAGAGTGATGAATTAGTAAATGGGGGATGATCTCAGTGGACTCTGAGTTTTGCTGCCACTCAATCATCAGATGAAGAGTCCAGGCCTTGACGTCTGTTTGTTGGGCTGAGTTCTGATGGGACCGGACCTGTATTCTGTATGATGGATTTGTGTCAGTGAGTGTGAAGGCCTTTGGTCTGCTGCTCAGGCCCGGTGGACCTCCTCACTGCTCCATCTGTATCACAGCCTGGTTCTGTTTTAAATATGTTATTCTGAGAGTCGTGGTGTCAGCTTGATGATGTTGAGGTGATGAACAAACATGGACTCTGGCAGATTAGAGTCCAGATGGTGTTTTACGGCTCGTTTGGTACCAGATTGAGTTCTGATGAACCATCACCAGCTGAAACATGACATATCATACAGACAAGAGCTGTAAAGGGCCCAGCATACTCCAGCCAAAGTGCTGAAATCGGCTCTCATTGTCTAGCTACAATGAGAAAATAGAGAAAATTTTGAGAAAATTGCATCATTTTGTTCTCCCACCCCTTCTCAACACCTAAAGAAGTTCAAAGTGACGTGAGGATGGTCAGATGTCCTGCTGACCCTCAGCTCTTCTTGCTGCTGTGGGGGTATATGTTATAGAATGGATAAGTTGTGATTTATTAATCATTTGTAAATTAGAAAACTTCAGAGCACCACCTTGAAAAGAAGGAAATATCTATAATTCTATGATTTATATGATTATCAGTCACAAAAAATGACCCCAAATAAGTTTTTTTTTTTTTTTTTTTTTTTTGAGTAATATCACAATTACGGTACATTTAAAACACACATACAACTGAATCAAGTTTGGCACTGTTTATGTGATGTTTATTGACAGATAGGAATTTAATATAATTAATGAGAATATGGATGGTAAAAGATGTTCAGAAGTGATCCTAATGTGAACACTTAAAGTAAACAAAAACACAATATCCTGTGGATGAGAAACATGTTGCTTTGAGGCAAAAAAAATTAGAATTCGATTAGAATAGAGGTTGAGGCACGCTTAACTGAAATCAAAAGTGAAATAAACGTTAAAGTTTGGCAGAAGTTGTAAAATTGTGAAACTTATCAAAGACTTGTTGAACTGGACTGCTGTTTCTGTCTCGGAGCACCATGATCACCAGTGAATGATATGGGTGGTACCGAGTCATAGTTCTGGTTCAGCTCCTACAGTAGATACCAGGCAGGTGAGTGGACCGGATCTGGTAGGTGATCTCAGAAACAGAAGATCTCCTGATGGTATCTGTGTCAGCTGTTACTCTGCGGCTGGTTCAGTCAGTGAGCTGAGAGTCTCGGTGCTTCGGTTGGTGCTCATGTAGCTCTGTGCAGCCTCAGAGGTTCTGGAGCGGTCCAATTCTTCAAGGAGAATGTGCTCAAAACGTCAGAGTTCAGCTCAAAGATCTGACTGGCTTTACTTCGTAACTGTGCCTGAATCAAACCAGGGTTTCTGGTCGGCAGTCTGAACTAAGAGAAACTGTCTAACGATGATGACACTGGAAGAAAGAAGCTTTGATGAATGGTGAAACAATGATGTCACACTGCAGCAATAAACTCAGTCAAAGTGGAGAAGATCAGAACAAACTGAAGTGCAGACCCAAACTGGGTTTTGAATGGCTCCAGGGACCGTCGTATATTTCATCCAGACTCCACTTCAGGCTGGAAGGAGGTGGATGGAAAAATGAAAAACTGACACGTGTTTATTGTTTAATTGAAGGAACCTGTTTTCCTTTCTCACACTTGTGTACTGAATATTATTTATTAAAATAATTGATGTTGAGCAGCTCATGTTTGTCTCAGCAGACCTCAGTAAACACTACAGCAGCCAGAACTCAGTCAGCTTTACAGATATTCAGCTAAAGCTTGGTGTGGTGGTAGCTGAGAGCCATCCCATACGTCCTGAGTGCTAACAAGGTTGATGGTTATTTTCAAGATTTTATTTTCTACATTAAACGATCTTAGTTCAAAAATTGGATGATGGCTATTCCTTCAAGGAGTCTTGATGTGAGTGAATTTGTGCTGGACTGTTGTCTGCCTTCCACCTGGAGCTGACAGGAAGTCCAGTTTAAACACAAAGAACTGGGAGAAAGTGTGTTTCTCTAGCTGCACTACGGCAGACCAGCAGGCTCTCCAGCGGGTGGTCAAAACAGCTGGGAAGATCATCAGGATTACCCTAATGGAGATCAGAACTATCTATACAACCTGCTGTCTGAGACTAGTCAACAACATCCTGGGGAAAAGGTACCATCCTGCACATGGCCTATTCCATCTGCTACTCTCAGGCAGAAAATACCGGTCCATAGGTGCCAGGACCACCAGAACGTCTCACAGTCTACCCACAGGCTGTGAGACTGTTAAACAAACACCATGTCTCTTTGACCCCGCCCACTATCCTTATATCTCAAATCTCATTATGACAATAACTGTGAAATGGATATTGCATTGCTTTAATAACCAACTACTACCTCCTCAACATCTGGCTGTTTACAATTTTCCCTCCTTCTGTCCTGCCTTTAGACGCTGTATTATATGTGTTTACACTGATTTTCAGAACCTTGCAAAGTTCTTTCGCACCATTATGTGCCAATTTATTAATATGTAGGTGCACGATTCTCCATCAAAATGTTGTTGCTATCCATAACTGCTGTTATTATGGCAATGACAATAAAGTATAGTAAAATATAGTATAAGGTTCTAATGGATATTCCTGCACAGGCTTCATTCTTCCTGGCTACAACAATTTCTACCATCTTTAAAAGTGAGGTCTGAAATAACTGTCTGCAAAACCCCTAATTTCTCACGAATCTACTGATTTAATGAGTATTTTATATCAGTTGGGACACATCTGTGATTTGAATGTTATGAGTGTGAATGTATTTTATTTTTTCCATTAGAAACATTTTTTTCCCAGAGTGGAGTGATGATAAAACATAACTTCACTGATTTTTAGAAACAAGGATACATGTGAGCTAATTGTGGGTTTTCTGGTTTAAAACTAACCCACCATTTGGTAAACTGTCCCTTTAGTAAGACGTACCTGGACCACACTGTTTTTGTGTCGGTCCACCAGCTTCAGGCAGGATTCTGGCTAAAGGTCTGATGCCTCTTACTGACTAAATTAGTAGTTTATTTAAACTGGTTGGTGTTCTGGCCCAAATCTGGCTTTTAAGCCAGGTCCACACAGAGGTCCAGAGAGGTCAGTGTTTTGGGAAGGCCATTCCAGAAGCATATTGTCATCCTACATTATCCAGTCAGGAACCAGTTCTGATGTGTGTTTGGGACCACTGCTGGTCCAGCCGTGTCCGCTTCATTGCAGACTTGATCCTTGTTGGTTCCTGGATCATTCTTGAACATCCTAGCCTCTTTCATGTGACCTGAGGGCAGAGTAGATGAGGCCACTGAGTTCTGTCAAATCTTTTTTTGATGGCAAAGTGAATTTACCAGCTGCGACCGATCAGGAGGCCTCAGCCATGTCAAGTTAAAGTTCATTTTACTTTCCTTTAAATAGTTTTTCTCTGTTTTCAACAGCTGATTGTGTCTGAACAAATCTGATGTGTTGTTTCTAATCATTTCCTGTCTATGGTGTGTACTTCTCCCTGTTTTTAGGCTAGCAGGTTACGTGGAGGCTTTGGCGTTTCGGTTGGGGATGCAGATTCCCGATCTGAGCCCGAAGCAGGCCGATATGTGGCAGACCAGAGTCAGCTGTCACATGGTTTGTACTTTCTAACCGGAGAAAACACAAAGCTACATGTTTTCCACAGATTCATTTCTGAGAGGGTCGAAGTGAAGCAGCGACTGCAGGCCTGTCAGAGTCCAACAGGTTCCAGGTGGAAACTTAAAACCAATAGCAGAAACAAGATTCTGTGGAACGTCTTTTCAATCACCAACACGCTGGAAGACAATCAGAAGTTAAATGAGCTGTGACGGATGAAGCGTGAATGTTAGAACGATTGTAACAGAAGTAAAAGGTGGCTCTAAATGGTCCAGCTGTTAGGAAATACACATGTAGGAACACTTGTGGGCACTTTGCTAATAGAATCAGAATGCTTATTATTCTTGCACAGTGAAGTACAACAAAATTACTTTCCGTACAGCTGTCCTAAAGATGGACAGAAGTGTACAGGGGGCTGCAGCTTCTAAGATGTGCTGCCCCTGTTGCTTTGATAAGAAAAAGGGAAGAAAACATAAGGAGGTATAAAAAAAACTCTCACACCGTGTCCTTGATAGGGCGCAGTTTGAGGCATCAAAAAATTCTACCACAGCAAAGCAGTATAAATAGACATACGTGTAATACATATGCATGGGGGGTGGGTGGGGGTCCCAGCACAGAAACCTGGTGAGCAAAGCAGCCCTTGTCACCTTCACATCTCCTAGGTTGCTGCACCAGGGGAGGCGAGGGAGGCCAGTGGATGCATTGAGTTTGAGGGAAGGTCGTAGCATAGCATAGTCCAGAGCGCCCATCCCCCAGCCGTAGTCCTGATATGAGGTGTTTGTTTATCAGCCAGCTCGGTTGAGCGCTATCACAGGTTCACAACCTTGGGGAATAGTGATGTTCGATACCAGGATTTTCTGGTCCAATACGATACCTGGTAAAATTCATGAAAGTATCAGTGGTATCAATACCGATACTGATACTTTTTGCCTAATATGTCAGGTAAACCTAAAAAAAAAGCGATGTATTCAAATCAAAGTTGCATAAAGACTGCAAGACAAAGTGATTTATTTATTTTAAACTCAGGAGTATGTTGATGCAGTGGCCTCATTTAGTCTGAGCCAGGACATCTTACAAAATATGTGAAAATGGTTTTTCAAACAATGAAAATAAGAAAAATCATAAAACTATTAAAATAAATTATTAAATATCTATTAAATAATGACATGTTTAAGATAATATATTATATTTATATCCACATTTTTGTAGTATATATTTTTCAGAGTTCACCAAGGCTGTTTTATCTCCACTGCTCTGTATAATTTGATGACACCTGGTCCATATAATCCACTTTAAATTATCTATTCTTTATGAAACCTTACCTGAATAAATCTAGGCTTTTTTGCCCATGTGAGATTATCTCAGTGATACACATATTATTACTCCAAACTGAACTCATGCAACTATTTGTTGAAGCATGAATTTATTTTGTTAATTATTTCATAACCATATGTATTAATTTGATCATCTCCCAACTGCAGCAGTTCTTAGCACTGCTGAAAGCTCCACATTTCCTCCCTCTGTACCTGGATAGTCCTGCAGCCCTGAGGGACTCCTCCAGAGCAGCAGCACCTGACTCTCCTCCTCTGTCCACCTCATCAATGCTTCATATTCTGTGTTGTGATTTAACCAGAAGTGTTTTACAAGGTTTGTTGTGTTGCTACAGCTCTTTACAGATTCTCCTCCTCACAAACCACTTTTTGGCTGTTTCTGGAGCTGAAACAGCTTCACACGTGACTCTGTTAAAATCCGCCGTTGTGTCTACAGACTGAGAGACTGACGAGCAGCGTGCCGCTCCGCTGAAATGCATTACGCATTTACTCAGGTGGAAGAAAAAGTAGTTCCCTCCAACTGAGTATCATTTAGACAAGAGCTCAATAGTTTAGTTACTTTCCACCATCTTCCCATTAATGATATGCATTACCTGAAATGACTGAAGTATCAAAAGTATCGATAGTTTGATTTAAACATCGATTCTAGAGCGAAATGTTCTGGTATCGATAGTATCAATATTTAGTATCGATCCACACATCACTATTGGGGAAGGGAGGAGGTGGGGAAAGGGGCAGAGCGTCTTTGTTTCCATAACATCCAAGGAGAAATTGAGATAGTCTGCCTTCCAATGCCAGGTCCAGATTCAGATATAAACATTGTTTTGGGTCAGGCTGAACTCGTAAATTTCCGTGTCTGCCTTAACAGTCTCGCTAGTACATTCTCTCATGGTGACTCCAAACAGCCGAATATGATTACTTACATCAAGATGAGCTTACAACTTCTCCAAGATTTATTCCTTCCAACCATTCATGGTCACTGCCAGAACATTCCACAGTCCTGATAAGGATCAGCCTGTTCATCTTGATACAGCACCACATATAGTTCACACAGAGTCTGAGTGCTGCCAAGCTCGTCGCATTCTCCACATTCCAGGCAGCTTAAACAGCTGCTGATGTTTCCGAATTTGTCGACAATCCAGATTTCCACCACCTCCAAACAGTAAAACCCAGTTATCGTAGATCCCATTACGTTTCTGTCGAGGTAAGAGGGTTCTCCTTCACCCTGATTACCTTTTGAGAAAATTGATCAATTTCATTGAGAGGCCAGCTGATCAAATCCATCGTTACAATTTGGAAGGTATGCAAAAAAAAAAAAAAAAGGGGGGGTGGGGGCTCTGAAAAAGGTTCACAAGACAAAGGGCAAGGCAGGGACGGAGCGAGGGACAGAGCAGAGAAGGATGCGTCTGCCTTCCACCGAGAGCAAGCAAGAACACCCCCCCCCCCCCCCCCCAATGGATTTGGTCCAAATGTTCATGTCAAACAGCTGTGATTGAACAAAGCTTCCACTTAGTCTGAAAGAAGGCAGATTTATTGGAGGTGATGGAGTTGTAAAGCTAACTAGCCTTCTTCCTCTTGTGTGCAGGGTAAAGCCATCGGTGTGGGCATTGGCTGCCTCCTCGGGATGTTTCCTCTTCTCTTCTACTCAGACAATGACAACGAGAAGGAGGAAGGCCAAATGAAGGCCAAGGAGGAGAAACAGCCACCGATAACTCCGACAGAAAGCAGCAAAAACTAACGAACCATTCCAGACTATGAGGAACCGATGAGATTCCACGTAGTCTGGAGTGGTTTGGAGTGAGATCTTTTCCTCACAGGCTGGAGGGTTTGGAAAACAGGCAAAGTGGCACCTCTGAAGAAACTGTCCAAGGTCTTCTGAGGAGGACTTTAGACCACGTTTGATCGTAGACGCTGAACTTAAGCACAGAAACAAGACGGCTATTGAAGGAACAATGCTGCTAACGGCCGCACCACGTCTTACCTGGACCCTGAACTCATCTTTAAGTTCGGTCTCAGATGGTAATGCAAACTGACTGACTCTTTAAAATGTCAAACTTTACAACCAAGACATAAAAATATTCTAATTTAAAATGTATAAAAGATAACTATTTGAAGCCTTGGCAACAGTTAGACGAAAATGATGCATCTAGTTTGATTTTGATTTAAACTTGTGATTTTTAATTGTAGATGTTGTAAATTAAGACAGCTTTAGTTTCAGAGCAGCGTCCAGAAACCTGTCGTTAAACTGCCTGCTCATTTACGTTTTACACTTTTTGTCTGATATGAACTACATGTGTGCTTGAACGCATTCAACGCTTTAAAAACTAAAAATACGTTTTAAGAAAAGCCGGAGGGATCAACTTTATAATGATGTTCAGAACAGCAGAAACATAAAATATCTTACCATTATCCAATATCTGAAATATACCAACATCCATTGGTGTCTTTGGAGAGAAGGCAAATGATCCCTACAACTTCTAAAAACTGTAACCCAACTAAACATTTGAAGGGTTGAAAATGAGGTGAAATCTTACATCAAGAGATTTTTTCTTTACAAAAACAAAGCACATTAAAATATGCAGGGTTCATCTTAAATCCAGGTTGTGAGTGAAATCTGCAGGTTTTGTTTGTGTTTTTTTGTTGGACTTTAGTTGTGTTCCTGAAATAAAGCTTCACTCCTCTGGATTTCAACTCAGAACCACAGGCTTCCTCCTGGGTCTTATGGCCGAAACAGTTTCTCAGTAATCCCTAAAAATTTAAGACAGAAAAAAAAGTCTGTTTAGGAAAACATCCCAGCTCATGCTCAATAATCCAGGTCAAAAATCCAACTGAATTAAGTCAGGTTCCTCTGGATGGTTTCTTTGTGTTGAAATGTTTAGTCCTTCATCCAAAGGACTTCATCAGTTTGAGGAGTCACAACAAACTCAGTCCTACAAGCAGCACACTCACATAGTGGGCCAACCAGTTTGATGGTGATAAAATGGTTTCTGGAGTCCGCCCTGTCCCCCGTCGACTCCTCTGAGGCAGCCATGGCCAAAATGGTTCAAAACATCAAAGTTCATGTTCGATAATCCAGGTAATAAATCCTTTGGATGAAAGACGAAATGTTTCAACACAAAGAAACTGTCCAGAGGACTGACTGTTCAGAAAAATGTTATTTATGTTGTTCCTGTACAGACTAAGAAGTGAACATCCTGACACTGAATAAAACAGTTTTAAGATTGTTTTAATGTGTGTGTGACTTCATACAATCATTTGGTTCAGTTCCTGAGCTGAAATTCTTCTGTGTTTTCATGTTTGATGGAACCATGATGGAGATTTATCGGTCATGGATGTGAGCTTGTTTAGTTGATGTCTGTCGTAGAAAAAAAAACATTCACAAATGATCAGGTTTTAATAACATCAAATTTAATAACACAAAGCTTTTGTGGAGAACAGTCAGTTACAGAAAGTCAATGTATTACAAACTCCCAATGCTTGCTCTGTCTCATAATCTGTTTCCCCTTCTTGAAATGAAAAAGTTAAATTTAAAGAAACTCATCTGGGGCCTGCCCCCTCCCTCTGGTCTTAGCTCAGAGTTTATCGATCCTGTGATACTAAAGCATTATACCATTTAATCACAATGACAGTAAGGTAGAGGAAAATATTACAAAGGTTAATGATATAGTAAAATCAATAGAGCATGGTGCATGCTTAGACACATCCTCGACACGCCTCCCTCGATCCTCTATTAATCAAAAACAAAACTATAAATGAATGCAATGCACAGCAAACAAAAATGGTGATTATAGTGTAAATGTTAGTCACTAAACTTAGTAGCATAGTGAGAATGATACAATTACACAAAGGTATCTTTGCCAACTTTCACTTGAAGTGGCTCTCACCGTTACCACTCAATTCAGTCAGCCAGACTTCATCCCTGGGTCAAAGCTGACGTAGCTGACCTTCAGGAACAACAAAAGATTTATCCTGGGAGAGACTGTCCTGGTGTGAGCAGAACCTTCACTACTCCTCCAGAGACATCATTCAAAAGTTCAGAGACCCACAAAGCTCAACACTCGAAGAGCAGGACTATCACTTTAATGGTACACCCTGTGGATTCAGCTGCTTTTAACTGCTGAGCTTTTCATGATCCTTTCTCTGGGTCCTTTACATATACAATAAATTCTGCTTTTCACTATCAATAACTTGGACCGGTCACAGCTTCTGTCACTGTAACAGACTAATAAAAATTAATTGGACCAATCGTTTAAGGTATCAGGTACAGAAACATGAATAATATTACCAGTACAATAGAAAACATTCATCGTTTGTCAATAAAACTCGTTTCTAGGTTTAAAAGATGATGTTTAACCGTGTCTTTTGTTTCTTACAAGACTGTTGGATAGTGGATGGAGGTTCAGGTTACTCTGACTCTCACAGAGACTTTTCTGTAACTTCAGCACGATTCATCTGGAAATCTCTATTTCAAATTATTTGATCATAAAACATAACTAAAAACATAAACACACAAAAATTAATCTAGTTTAAAGGAGGGGGAAACTGGATGAAGGAGGTGAGTTTGGACCATATAGTGTAGGTTATCAGTCTCCTAATCAGTTCAAACTTAGTTTATGTAACTCAGTGTAACTTAATTTGTAAAACCATATTCCATTAAAACCACTAAAGTCACCATTACTTTATGTTTTAAAGAAATTGATAACTTCTTTGACTTTTCTTTGCCTTTATAACATTTAATTAAATGACTGTTTTTAGTTGTGTAAAGTTCAATTTAGTTTACTATAATATCGGTTTAAAGGCTTAAAACCTGTACATTTTGAAGAAATAACCGAAGTGATTAACAAAAACAAACGATAGAAAACAAATAACTTGTAAAAAATTAAATAATTTTTAATAGTTAAGACCTTTTTCTCTCAAATATTGTTCACAAATTTGTGTAAATCTGTTAGTGTGCATTTCTCCTTTGCAGAGATAATCCATCCACCACACAGGTGTAAGATACTGATTAGACCGCATGATTATGCACAGGTGTACCTTAGGCTGCCCACAATAAGAGGCCAATCTAAAATGTGTAGTTTACTGTTACTGTGTTGAAGGGTCAGAAAACCAGTCAGTATCTGGTGTGACCACCATTTGCCTCACACAGTGCAGCAGAGTTCACATAGAGTTGATCAGGTTGTTGATGGTGGCCTGAATCTTTTTACCTCCATCTGTGAAGATTCTGCTCCTGTGTGGACGTGACAACTCCAAAGAACAACAGATCCGTCTGTAAAAGTTAGAGAAGGCTTTGAAATGTTCAGTGATTCTTAAAGCTTTCAGTGTGAAGAGCCGGTTCTTCACAAACATGGACCACCACCCCACCTACATATTCAATGACAAATACTTTTAGCAAATCTTTGTGCTGCTGTCACATACAATGATCAACAGAGTGCAGGTTCTACCATCTCAAAATGATCCACAGCTTCCAGATGTTCTCCAGCTGTGCTCTGAACGGAGACAGAAACAGTCAGTCTGTAGGATGACTTCACTTCAAGAGGTGATCTGTTGTAAACCAGAAGCCCTGAGCAGTTCAGGTGACTTAACAATTCATGTTATTTTGTCCTTCCCTTCTGACCTGGTGTTCTCTGGAGCTCCACCAGCGAGGAGTGTGAGAACAAACAACTCACCCACAGCCACAAATACTCAACAATTGTGATCCAGACAAAACACATGCCGTGACATTTTAAACATAGACGTGTCATATTATACATGCTCCTACTTAATAAAGACATACCCGTGCATATAAATACATAATAAAGACATACACGTGCATATAAATACATAATAAAGACATACTGTGCATATAAATACATAATAAAGACATACTGTGCATATAAATACTTAGACATACTGTGCATATAAATACTTAAAGACGTACCCGTGCATATAAATACTTAAAGACGTACCCGTGCATATAAATATTTAAGACGTACCCGTGCATATAAATACTTAAGACGTACCCGTGCATATAAATACTTAAAGATGTACCTGTGCATATAAATACTTAAGACGTACCCATGCATATAAATACTTAATAAAGACGAGCCAGGTGAGTTTTAGTGAAGCTTTATTTCTTTAAGCTTTATTTGATACAAATCACACTTTCCTCCAAACAATATTAAAACAGAGCGATAGTGAACACACACACACACACACACACACACACACACACACACTTCATTGTTCAGTCAAATAGCTACTCGTGACGCTCACACGTCTCCTCACTGCTTTAAAAACAAACAAAAAAAAAAGGTGCCACCATCATCATCTTCAGAACATTAAAATAAAGTCAGAGAATGTTCCTCCTTGGTTCTTCCTCTCCTTCAGAACTGGACCGTGAGTGAACCTGATGGTTTAATGTGAAGACTTTTCAGTATAATTATCTAAAGATCAGTGGACTCTGTAGCCTAAACATGGAGTCACTTGTTGTGTTTGTTCTAAAGGATCCTTAAAATACGTCCTCCCACAGTTAAAATCAGGAAGTGGTTCTGTACCACCGGCCCGAACTGGACTCCTTCGTGAGGCTCGGCTCTGAGGCTTTAGATCAAAATACTAAAAGTTTGTTCTTAACTCTTAAACTTGGCCCAAAACAGAGAGGTCCATAAAACACATTTGTCCACAAGTTAAAAAATTTATCCTACATTTAAAAGAATTGCTATTGTCTAAATTCATCTCAACAAACCGGCGCAGCATACAGAACACTCCTCTTTTCAGACCTAATGTTTCTCTTTACCACACCTGTGTCCAAACCAGAGTTAAAAACACGTTAGCACCATGAAGAACTGACGGTTTTGGACATGTGAGGGAACCTTCTCACCTGTGACCCAAACACAAACTTTGGTTCCAGCAGCTTCAAATATGCAAAAGTACCAATAAGGTGAGACGTTGGAGTAAAAGTCCAAAACTGAGATCAGAGGGAAGTCGACTGAACCGGGTTTGTTTTCCTCCACGTTGTTTAAACCACCACCAGGTGTCTCTATTCAGTTAACCTCCACATCCTGCAGAGAGGCACTGCTGAGATCCAGCCTCAGAGGTTCTGTCTCGGCGGTTCTGTCTCGGCTCTTTTCACTCATTAGAACAGGTTCCCAGGTGAAACAGGAAGCCCCTCAGAGCAACTGTTAGCTCATCAAGTCCATTCCTCCAAACAGAGACTCTTCAAAAGAGCTACCTACAACAGGTAAGACATTATTTACTCACAAACATAGAACAGAACTGCACTTGGGCACATGTGAACCTTTAAAAACAAAGTGTCTGTTGAAGTCCTGCTGTTTCAGAACCAAGACCATTCTAGAAAGAGAAGAAGCAACATTAAATAAACTTGTTGTTGATGTTCTTCTTGTTGTTTTTGTTGTTGTTGTTATTAATGCTCTTGTCATCCTCCTGGGTCCTCTCCTGACCCCCTGAGAGGACTGAGCTGCTTAAAGGAACTTAAAAGGGTCTTTTCAGTGTAGTGTGCCATTATTGTTGGAGTGAACAGGCTGGAGCTGGGCTGGGGGGGCGGATTTGGAGGCTTCTCTGGGTTCACGTTTCCGATGGAGGGCGACTGCAGCCAGAAGGCTGATGATGTGCACGTAGAAGTACATGGACCTGGAAAAAGGGTGAGACAGAGGGTTAAGAGTGTCACCTCTGAAGGTGTTGAAAACATTTGGATCAGTTATTTTATTAAATCTGACTAAAGCTGACACAAAACCTGGACTGGACTCATGACCTCACAGTTTGTTTGGAACCTCTGCGAGGTCCTGACTGACATTTCTTCAGGTTCCTTGAAGGTCTTTCAAAGTGTTTCTTCAGACTGTTACATTTGTTTTCAGTTCAATTCCTGAGTGTTTTCGGTTTTTCTGTGATTGTTCAGTAACTTGACCCTGAGCTGTGAATCGTTATATAAAAAAAGCTTCTACATAAACTGAATTTTAGATCAACCCGAGTTGGGTCAAAAAAGAGAGACAATTTGTTCCTTTTTCTTTAGTTTAATCTATTAAAAAAATACATTCAATAACACACAAAAATGTTAAATCATGTAATCTGGACAGTTTCTTTTTTGAAGAAAATGTTTCATCCTTCATCTGAAGGACTTCATCAGTCTGAGGCCTGCCAACAGGATGTGTCGTATGACGTTGTTGACGTGTTTCAAACCAGTCTGCTGTTGAGTTTCCATGCAGCCTGGCTTTACACTTTTTTTTTTTCCTCCCTGGCTCTGATCGAGGTGGCTGTTTTTGTCTTTCCTCCCCGTTTTTCCTTCTTCCTGCTCTGCTCTCTGTGTCTGAAGTGCCTGGTTCACATCTCCCAAACGTAAATTAAGAAGATTATGGATCGGATATCCTGGACGTTCAACTCTATTGATAAGATGTTTTCATCAAAGCGACAAGGTCCTGGAGAACCTGTGTGTCCAGCTGAGACTCATGCTGTGGGGTATGTCATGGATCCATGGGGAGTGTGGCAGCTGATGTGCCTCTCGGTCCTGTCTCAGGAGGATGTTGAAGATGTTTACATATTTGGAATTATGATAGCAGGGACTCTGCTTTTTGGCATTGGCAGGGCTCTGTTTTATTGACTATTGAAGAAGACATTGGCAGAAGTTTCGGCCATGGCAAAACTTCCGAGTCAGTGTGAAGGTTTGGTCTGTGCTGTAAGAACTCTAAATCATCTGGTTTACGAGCTAAACCGTAAGGTGGAGGCGATTTATGAGAATCGCAGGCCACCTGCGGCTTCTGGGACTCAACGCGGTGGGTTTGACCTTCAGGGAGACTCATAGCATGGATCAGTGGAATGGAATCCCACAATTAGGCTATTTCAGAACCAGAACGTCCAGATGGACTCAAGTCTAAAGAAAAAGTAATCTGTCTGCCTGAAGAAAAACAACAATCAAAGCTCATCTGAATCTGACTCCCCGATGGCCTCGGAACGGGCTGACCATCAAATTTCTCCTGGGTCATGAGTAACCAAGGACAAAAGCTTCATCTATCGCACCCCATAGAGGACCATCAGTCTAAAACAATTGATCATCAGTGCATAACAATCAAATGTTATAGTCAAAATGGCCGCTTACTACTCACTGAACCAGCTCGAGGACAACCTGGTCAAAATGGTTAAAAGAAAGAAGAAGAAAAAACATCTGTCATGGACATGTCATGTCCAGATGACCCCAATGACCGAAAAGGAAGAAGCAGGTAAAGATGTGATAAAAAACACCCAACAAGCAGATTGAAGGCAGTCAGAGCGCACCTGTAATAAATCAAGGTGTGGTCCAGTGAAAGCAGCAGAAAAGGCATGACGGTGTAGCCGATGGTCAGCTGGGTGGCTGCCCACGTCACCACGTCGTACGCAAACTTCCATGTTCTGGAGCCCAGGAAGAAGGGCCGGACGGACCTGCGGACCTGCAGCCACACCAACAGAAGGATCACTTCCTGTTCCTACAAATTATTAATGACACGGCTTTTACATTTAACTACAATCAGACTGAAACAGACTAGCTGCTGGTAGCATGAGGTAAAATCAAGTTATACCGGATCTCTACAATCATTCATGAATTAATGAATAAATACATAAATAAATTACAACAGCACAGCACTCACAGCTCGAGCTGCGATGGTGATGGGGATGGCCGTGATGAAGGTGAAATAATAACCGGGATAAACGCCGTGCCACAGGGCGGACAGGATGAAGGTCAGCGCCAACCGGTGCTTTGGGGCTCGATCATAACACACCCTGAAACCAAAAAGCGAGACATGATCCAGAAGATCCTGCTGGGTTCAGACGGAGCGTCAGGTCCTGGGTTCTGTATTCACTCACGTTTTGAGCCAGATCCCAGTCTGAATGTTCCAGTTGTCGATGAAGGTCTTGAAGCTGGTCGCTGTCTGAAAGAGTCAACAACTTTAAGTTCTCTGTGATTCAGGGTCAGACTCTATAGAAAGAATGGCTCAATCAGAAGATTTTATTGATCTGATGGATACCTCGATCCCAATGATGTTGAGGTTAGAGACCAGGTCCCAGGAAGGTTTTCCACGTTCATCCAAACCCTGAAAGCCGTAACCTGCGGCGTTGTTTACAGCATCAGCTGATCTCACAGAAACAAAGACAAAAACGAGATGACCAGGACAGAAACAGCTTTATCTCCACGTGTCCCACAGTTCTTGAAACTTTTGCTTCTTAGTTATCTTCTGTAGCTTATAGACTGAACCGTTCTCCTCAGCTTGTCTTGGTGTGAACACGTCTCTACCAACTTTTATTAAAACAAGTTTGATTGTTTTCCTCAAAGAAACACTAAAAGTTTCTCGTCTTCAACCTTTACTGTCGCTCAGTTTTGGACACATTTAGGTTAAAATCTACATTTTGGGGTCAAAGAAAGGGTTGTGCATTTGTTGTGCCTGCACAGAGCTCACCAAGCGTCCAGGCGAAGTAGAACTTGGGTCTTGCTGCTTGTATGGAGAAGAACGAGTAGGTGAGCCTGGACAGGAAGGAGGCCTGGTTGATGAAGTCCGGGTCCACGTTGAAGGTGATGGGCAGCGAGCGGGTCACAACCATGAAGAAGAGCATACAGCCGCTGCACACCACAAGCTTTCTGCACACAGTTTTCTGAAAGACAGAACCAGCTCATGCTTCATATTCAGAACCACCACGGACCAGAAACCCAACAGTAATGCGTTCTGACGTCCACACGTTCTGAATTATTTACTGAGACCGAACAAAGTTAAGTCAGGTCCTCTGGACGGTTTCTTTTTTAGTTGAAGCGTTTTGTCTTTCATCCAAAGGACTTCGTCAGTCCAAGGAGGCACAACAAACTCTGCCCCACAAGCAGCACACCCACATAGTGGGTCAACCGGTTTGATGGTGATAAGATGGTTTCTGGAGTCCGCCCTCTCCTCCGTCAACTCCTCTGAAGCAGCCATGGCCAAAGTGGTTCAAAACATCAAAGTTCATGCTCAATAATCCAGGACAAAAATGATGAAGTCCTTTGGATGACGGATGAAACATTTCAACAAAAAAAGAAACCGTCCAGAGGACCTGAGTTAACTTGTTTGGATTTTTTTTTTAACCTGGATTATTGAGCATGAACTTTGATGTTTACTGAGATGATGTCTTGGTTTGTCCTCACTGATTTAAATCTGGTCTGTGTTGGTCCAAAGAACCAACAGAACCTCTGTCCTGTTTACACATGTTCTTCAGTTAGAAGATTAAACGCTACAGAACATGTTTCTGATCAGTGAGGGTGGTGAGCAGATCCGTCTGTATGAAAGGTTTAGACAGAAGACAAACGAGGCACAGCGGGGGACACTGGACTTATCGGAGTGTAAAGAGGGTTATCAGCAGAACTTCTTTCACATGTCAAACCAAAGAATGAGTCCAGAGTGATCATTGCTCTGTTTTATTCTTCTTCTCCAGCAGTTCATCGGGCTCTTTGTTCACCGGTGTTCACTTCTGCGCAGCTCAGAGATTACTGCCCTGCGGTGCTGTCCTTACATGAACGCGTCTGAAGGATTCTGACCCACAGAAACAAAAGCTGCACAGACTTGGGCAGCGAACAACTGAAAGACTTTCTAACATTAAATTATATTCTATCAGATTTCCAGTCTGGTTTTAGGAAAATGCATAGTACCACTACAGCAGCGCTAAAAGTGGTTAATGATTTTATTGATCTTTTGGATAATAAGCAACACTGTGCAGCCCTGTTTATCGATTTCTCCAAAGCATTTGATACAGTTAATCACAAGGTTTTATTACAGAGGCTTCACACTATTGGCTTGTCAGAACAAACTCTTTGTTGGTTTGACAACTATCTGACTCTGTGTGTTCAAGTAGGTGGTTTAGCTTCTCTCCATATACTCAATGGTGTTCCTCAGGGGTCAGTGCTGGGGCCGCATTTGTTAATTATATATAAATAGTCTTAATTTAAATGTGCCTCATGCAAAATTTCATTTTTATGCTACTGTTTTATATGTTCTGATCTCTCACCTAACAATGCTTTTAATCAATTACAGTCAGTTTTAATGTTTTGCAGACAAATTTTTATCACCTTAAGCTTGTTTTAAATGCAGATAAATCGAAGGTGATGACATTTTCCAATGGGAGGTTGGAAAGTAAGGATCTTCCAGTCATTACTACAGCTGAAGGTCTGAAAATGGAAAAAGTATCACAGTATAAATATTTAAGATTCTTAATAGATGATTCTTTGTCTTTTACCTCCCACATTCAACAGCTGGTGAAGAGACTGAGATTAAAATTGGGATTTTATTTCAGGATCAGATCCTGTCTATCTTTTGAGGCTAGAAAGCGACTGGTTGATGCTACTTTTTTGTCTTTATTCGCTGGATATTGTTTCATCATGGAGTTTTAAGATTTATAACTGGTTTAAAAAGTTTAACACATCATTGCACATTATACAACCGGGTTAGATGGACGGCCTTGGCCACTCGTCGACTCCGCCATTGGCATGTTCTTATTGATAAGGCCATACAATGACTTCTTCCTTCGTATTTGTTGGCCTTTATAAAGAGAAAGTCCATCGGAGGATGCTCTCTTCGTTGTGAGAACTTCTTTTTACTTGCAGTGCCTAAAGTACGAACTGAACTTGGAAAGAAATCTTTTCAGTTTTCTGCTCCATCTTCTTGCAGAAATACATTAACCTAAAGGAGCTGTTGTCACCAAATGTTTTAAGGCTGTTCTTACTGATTTTGAGAAGGAATCATCTGTAAATGTTTTAACCAAGGAATCTTTTGAATTTATTTATTTATGATGGAGTTAACTTTTCCTGTTTTTGCTGTCATTATTCTGTAACCTCTGTGTGCTGCTGCCAGTCTTGGCCAGGATTCTCTTGTAAAAGAGATTTTTAATCTCACTGGGATTTTCCTGGTGAAATAAAGGTTAAATTAAAAATAAAAACTTGTGAACCCAACTATTGTTGGTAGGAATTTACAAACACTGTTAGGCTTTCGAACGTCACATGACTGTTAACCATTTAAACTTTCCTAACAGTTAGGGATAACTTGGCTCTACAGGCAGTCATTTTTCTGTACATCTTCTGAAGAGCTTCACCTGTCTGACCTTTTATGACCCCAAGTTTGGGAACTTTGGGACTTTAAAAAGACTAATCATACCAGTGGACCACAACACATTCTTACAAACCAAATGCATACAGGTCAAAATTTTTTTTATAGCAACTTCTTTTCCAGTTTCAATCACTTTTAATCCCTTTATCAAAACAGTTATTGAGAATCCCTTTACAAATCTTCAAGCTACCACATTAAAATTCAAGCCTGATAAATGCTACAAAGTCCATAAAAGGAGCGACTACATGTGGACTCATGAACTTACAGAGGGAGATATGTCCGGAGTGGTGTGGTGACCGTTCTGGCCGCTCCACGTGGTGGTGTGCTGCCTCAGCCTGCGGTTTACGTGTCTGCCCTCTATGAAGTCGATGTAGTCCTGATAGTTACTGCACGGCCCCACCAGGACGCTCAGGAAGTTCACGTTGTAGCTCAGGTACTCCAGGAGAGAAGGCCTCGCTCTGCAGAGAGGACGACAGAAGGAGTCATGTCATCGTGACGACGTCCCTTCAGGTTCAAAACTAACAAGATCACAACAAAACAAATCTAAAAGAAGCTGCAGTAGCATGGCGTAGATGAGTTTAAATTACAGTTATTTGAAGTCAAACATATTATTTTTCACTTTCAGCTATAATATGAGCAGATGTGTTGGATGTGAATGGTTCAGTTACACTAGAAAAACAATTACGTTGAAGTTCCTGCTTAAAGGAACACATCAGACTAGTGTGGCTCATCATCACACAGGTGAAACACTTTCTTTATGAATCCATCACATTATTTATGACGACATGCATGGCTCACAGTTCACATGCAAAAGGTTTCATGCAGGATGCTGGGTCTTTTCTACAGTTTAACATGCTTGTAGTTCATGAACAAGTTATTCACCATGACCTCATCTGCTTGTCTCTGCCCTGTGCAGCTAAAGGAAAACACAGAGTTATTTTATTCTTTAAATAAAGAAATAAATCCTCCATTTTTAATGAGATATACTGCCTTGAACCTGAAATCACTCGTTTCAAAAGAACAGCAAAGTAAGCACGTTATAACCATAAATAAAAAAACAATTACTTCATTTGGTTTAATAATAATAAACTTACTTTATAGCCACAAACTTCTGATTTGACGTCAGCTGCTCACTTTTCTTACACATGCCTAGAGAAGAAGAAATTAAACTATTTAACTATTTAATTTAGTTTGTTTGTTATTCATGATCAGGAGCTTTTCACTCCAACTTCTCTTTTTCATGTGTTTAACATGCATCATCATCATCATCATCATTAAGGATTCAAAAACTGTGTGTGTGTGTGGGGGGGGGGGGGTACCATAGAGTTAAAAACGACCTCTAGAGGGCGCAGTGATCACGTGACATTGCGATTCATTGTTTTGACTTTGGCCATAATCAGAAAGGGAAGCGTCTGTACTTAGAAATGTTATAGAAACTGGCAAAATAGCAATCAGTATAGAGTGATTTTGTAAAAATTTATTATTACTACTAAAATTATTAAAATATCAGTATGTATATAAGCTATCTAATGTAAATATAAATGTAAAAGCACCTCAAATCTGTGTGCTAGGGTTGTACCAACTGGAGAGGAAAAGGAAAACGTGTCTCATTTCAAATCAGCAGGTTTTATCTTACTTACCTCAATGTGAATGTGATCCAACCAGAACTGAGGCTGATAATGTAACCGTTCAAAATTAAAATTATTCTGTAAAGCCGATGTAATTGCTGTTAATTAATAAATTGGCTTGTAGATATTAGCTTCTGTGGCAGATATTGTATACAGGATGTAGCAGTATGCTGAATTGTGCTACAATTTAGTTCAAATGATTAAATAGTACAATCTAGTATGACCTTCAATTTATGTAACACATACGCAGTGTAAAATACTATATTTTTAACTATTTTTAGGTTTTCATTACACAAACCTGACCTGCTGAGGTTAGCTAATATCAGTAGAGACAAGTGTCATCCTTCAAAGTATCACAGAGTTTCTAAGTGTCGACTAAACGACAGGTAAATAGTAATAAATACTGTATTTTACACTGTATAAGTCACAGTTTTTCTTTTTTCATAAATTAGCATGCCTGCGACTTATACAGCGAAGCAAAGTATTTATGATTTTTTTCCCATATTTATAACCCAATTTGGCTGAGATCTGACAATTTCATTTATTCTGACATAAAAAAATGTTGAACTCTACCATTTTCAGCCACTAGAGGGCCTCGACGATTATGGCAAGC